GTAAGGTTTATTTTCTTTTTTTCTTATGATTAAGTTAGGTAAAGAAATATCTCATTTATACTTTACTTTGACCAAATACAAACCTTCGTAACGAATTTTAGGTCGGTACGACGATTGAAAGATATAGATATTTTTTTTGTTTTAGTTCCTTAGGGGTATGAATTTACACCTTCATTATTTTTAAAACTGACTCACACTTGGCCATTTTCAGATTTTTTCCTTTACCTTGACCTAAAGACCTACCTCCATGCCAAATTTCAAGTCAATACGACCATTGGAAGTGGTCTAGGTTTTTGATGAGTGAGTCAGTCAGTCAGTCAGTCAGTCAGTGAGTGTATAGTAAAAATAGCGATTTTCTGACGTCAATATCTCAAGACCTACAATAGGTACATTAATGAAATTTTGTATTTTAGATAAGTAAGTAGATCTCGACAGATACTAGAAATTTCATATGCGTAGATAAAATAGATTTTGAGTTATAGGTGGGTCGAACTTGGCCCGAAATGGTTCGTGTAATATAACCCACGGCCGGTGTGTCGCTTTTTTTGCTCGAACTTGGCGGACACACTGCCGTGTGTCTAGATAGGTACCTACAGGTAATAGGTACTTGCATACATACATAAATCACGCCTTAAACCCTTGCGGGGTAGGCAGGGCTTCAACGGCCGTAAAAATACGTTCGTTATTGCAACGTCTAACAAATTATTTGAGGGCCGTTTTAGCTATTGTCGTGTATCACTATAGTGACAGGTTGTCAGCTTGTCGCCTAAAATTGCAATACACATGTTACCTTCGAGACCCATAGTCGCTGCTTACGACACCCACAGGAAAAACGGGGTGATGTTATTCTAAGCTAGCATCACACGGCAGAGTAGCAGGTAGGTACATAGGTAGCTATAATAGGTACCTACAGGTAACTCACGCACGAACTGTAAGTACTTAGTTGGTACAATTCAGTGTTCCGCAACTCGAACCTAGGTAGGTATAATAAGTAGGTACCTTTGAAATTACCGCTGTGTGGTTTCGTTTTTTAATAATTATGATAGTTAATTACTTCATAATTATTTCTGAACCACACATTTTACGTTTTATAGCAAAATAGCAAAAATAGATACGTGCGTATCGCACTGCCGTTGCAGCAATACTGATCTGCAGTCACGGCAGTTGCGGCATATGCTGCAGCGGCCAACAGCATGTGCTGTCGGCTGCAGCCTTCGGATAGCGTTCCATAGAACTCCATACAAACCAGTAGTGCTGCAACGGCTGCAACTGCCGTTGCAGCATATGCTGTTGGCTGTCGGCTGTTGGCTGCAGCGTTCGGAATACCACCTGCCCATGAGTTTCATAGAATGGTTCACTCCTTAAAATATTTGCAGTTGATTTTTTTACACCTTATAGTCTCTGACTACCCCCTGATATATGGGCGTGACTCTCCAAGACGCAGTCGAGAACGGTAGCGTCGTTGCGCAAGCGCACGCCAAGAATTTGCATACAAACAAACAAACTAACGCGATTGTTTTTAAGTGTGGTTTGTTTGAGTAGCGTCAGACATGCCGGCTCTCTCTGTAAATAAGGACCTACGCACTTATTAGACAGTTCGTTTCTTGTATGGAAATTCTAATTTTGATTTACAAAACAATATCTGGTATCCCACTTCTGACACACTACAGTTGATAGTCAGTTCATTTCGTAGGAAGATATTCCCCATTTTCTTTCCGGTTTATGCATGTTGGTAGATACTAGATAGAACTATGTATAAAGAATTTTCATACAAACAAACAAACCAACGCGATTGTTTAAGTGTGGTTTGTTTGAGTAGCGTCAGACATACCGACTCTCACTGTAAATTTATAGACAACCCAATTTTAGAATTTATGAAAGCCTATTTAAACTTTGTTTCCTCAAATTAGTCGCCAAAGTAGGTAGTTTCAGGGGCCGAAACAAGTTTCATGGTCGAAAATACTGATTTTACTGACCAAAAATTCAAAAATACTGACCAAATACTGACCATTTTCAAACCGTTTTTCGGGTGAATTGTGTGAAATAAGTAGTTCTTTGTTGTCGAGGCCGGTAAAACAACCTGGCTTTGCTGGAAGAGACGGCTCGGACTTCAACTACCTACACGAGTCAAGCAAATAAATTTTCCCAAGGCTTACATACCTAGTGCTTTTCTCAAAAATGCTAGAAAATAAAAAACTAGGTATGTACTTTATAAAAAATGTTTTCCGCGGTCAGTTTGTCTTCAGCCCTTATATTTGGCGGCGTGCAATCCATTTTGATATTACTCTCATTCCGTTGTTTTGAGATTCATAGCGATAACTATTTTGAAATTAATTACATATGTAGTTTAGCGTGTAACGAATTTACTTTGCTGGACTCCAGCAAAAGAATTCCATACAACTTTGCTGGCGTGATCGGAGACATGACAAATAATGGGAAACATCGCGTATTCTTTTTTTGAAAGCAATTAACATATTTCTTAGCATGTTTGAGAAAATACTAAAATATCAAAAATTTAAGATTGGCCGACATGGAAAAATACTGACAATACTGACCGATTTTCAAAAATACTGACTTTTACTGACCAGGTCCAAAAATACTGACTTTTACTGACTTTACTGACCTGTTTCGGCCCTTGTAGTTTATTTACTATCCATTTTCAGATTTTTTAAGACTCGAATTCGTATCAATTTGTCGCCGCGTTAAGAGGGATCTATAGTCATTATTTTTCATACAAACGCTTTCAACGTATCCCTCTGCCAATTCGCAACCGATCGTTTCAATTTTTGGCGAGGTAACTTTTCTGGACTAGATCTATGCTTCATATTCTTTTTCTGGTTGTAATAATGCATTTAAAAAATGATATGGCCGTGGCAAAATGCTCTGAAATTAACACCAAGTTTACGCCTTGGTATCTTCTAAATATGACAATAATTTCAGCAAAACAAATGATACGGGCATAGAATATTTTATTAGCAGCAAAATAATGCCACTATCAACAAATTTGGTGGCGATTTCGAACGGGGAACCTGGTAAACCCAGAACGCAATTTTTCCGGTAGCGACCTATAACTGTCTCTTTTACGGCTGCGGGACGGGTCGGATGCATAAATGAGATAGAAATATTTTTATCAACTGACAGCTCACGATCTTTCAGCTAGGTATAGTAGCCTCTTAAATACATGTTTTTAATAATTAGTATTTAAATTAGTTTAACCTTGGTATTGATGAGGATTTTCTTAATTAGTTCTATGTAGTTATACATAGAAGGCATTCATTGTTTTTTCATAATGAAAAAAAAAAGATTAATTGATCTTGACATCCTGATCTTGGAATCAATGAGTTCTGCGATCTATTTTTAAAAATAATAACGTAATACAAGATACAATACAATATAATTTTAACAAAAACTTATGTGGACTCCCTCTGCCTACCCCCCTAATAATTGGGCGTGACTCCAAGACGCAGTCGAGAACGGTAGCGTCGTTGCGCAAGCGCACGCCAAGAATTTGCATACAAACAAACAAATAAACGCGATTGTTTAAGTGTGGTTTGTTTGAGTAGCGTCAGACATGCCGACTCTCTCTGTAAATAAGGACCTACGCAGTATGCACTTATATTAGCCAGTTCGTTTCTTGTGAAGATATTCTAATTTTGAATAATAATAAAAAAAAAAACACTTCTGACACGGCACAGTTAAAATTAATAATCAGTTCATTTCGTAGGAAGATATTCCCTATTTTCTTTCCGGTTAATGCATGTAGGTAGATAAGATAGAACTATGTATAAAGAATTTGCATACAAACAAACAAACTAACGCGATTGTTTAAGTGTGGTTTGTTTGAGTAGCGTCAGACATACCGGCTCTCTCTGTAAATAAGGACCTACGCACTTATTAGACAGCTCATTCTTGTGAAGAAATACTTATTCTTCTTTGAGTGGGACACCAAGTCATCCAACGACCCGATGAATCCTGATGTCAGAATAAAATAGAATAGAATAAAATGTATTTGCATAAGATTTTCAAACCAACGCGATTGTTTAAGTGTGGTTTGTTTGAGTAGCGTCAGACATGCCGACTCTCTCTGTAAATAAGGACGTACGCACTTATTATCATATCTTGTGAATACTTCTGTTTCGAGTGGTATTCCAAGTCATGCAATGCAATGACCCAATGAACCCTGGTGTCTGAGTTCTAAGAAATACTAATTCAGAATTACAAAAGAATCAAGTATCCCACTTCTGATACTGTACAGTACCTACGCACTTATTTAGTCAGTTAATTTCTAGCGAAGATTATCCCTGTTTTCTTTCCGATTAATGCATGTAGGTAGAACTATGATTTTTTCTCTGCCTACCCCTCTAAGAAACAGGCGCGACTCTCCAAGACGCAGTCGAGAACGGTAGCGTCGTTGCGCAAGCGCACGCCAAGAATTTGCATACAAACAAACATACTAACGCGATTGTTTAAGTGTGGTTTGTTTGAGTAGCGTCAGACAGACGGACATGCCGACTCTCTCTGTAAATAAGGACCTACTACGCACTTATTAGCCAGTTTATTTCTTGTGAAAGAATTCTAATTTTAAATTACAAAAAAATATCAGGTATCCCACTTCTGACACTGTACAGTACGCACTTAATAGTCAGTTAATTTCTAGCGAAGATTATCCCTGGTTTCTTTCCGATGAATGCTTGTAGAGTAAAGCTATAATTCTTATTTCATTAAATTAGTGCCTACTATGCTAAATTAGGCAAGCCTCCCTTATTTTATTTCTTACAACCGCATACAAAGAAACAAACTAACGCGATTGTTTAAGTGTGGTTTGTTTAAGTAGCGGCAGACATGCCGACTCTCTCTGTAAATAAGGACCTACGCACTTATAAGTCAGTTCGTTTCTTGTGAAGGAAGTCTAATTTTGAATTACAAAAAAAATATCAGGTATCCCACTTCTGACACTACAGTACGCATAAATTAAAAATGAGAAAATTGAAAATTTCACTAGCGACCGCCGGGACTTGAACCCGGGACTGTGGATCACCGTTCCACCGCACTGCCAACTGAGCTACAGGCGCCTAGAGGACCCTGGTGAATTTATCAACCTCTTGATGCTCGTGTCATTACTACAGTACCTACGCATTTAATATTAGCAATTTCAATTTCTAGGGAAGGTTATCCCTATTTTTTTCCGATGAATGTGTGTAGAGTACTATTTTTTGCGGCATCCTTAATCGATACTTAACCTACCCTGAAGCTATGGCACGTATTTAAATTAACACCCTGTATACATCTCAACAGATCAACTTGACCTAAACCGCTATGCCGACAGTACTAAAGTAGGTACTCTTTAACAATAGTCGCGAGGCGTCCGTTGGCTGAATTCCAACGGTAGCAACTAGCTAACCGCATAGCTGACTACTAGCATTCTAGATCGACTATTTAAGATGTCTTGGATTCGATTCCAGGCGAGAAAAAACAGCTTATTTCATGTTGCTATAAATACAGGAAATTTCAACGGTAGCAACTAGCTAACCGCATGCCTGACTACTAGCATTCTAGATCGAGTATTTATGAGACATGAGACGCGAGACGTAAGATGACATCTGTCAGACAAGTGATAGCCGCCAGCGTCTCTCCTGTTTCATACATATTATACCGGGAGTAACAGAAAGGGTATAACAAGCCGAAAGGAGGTCAAGGTACTCATGAAACTGAACAACTTTCCCTATGGAACATAGGTAGAAATATGAAAAAATATTTGGGCCTCCTATACAAATTGCCGATCATCAGCTGATTGATTTACTATAGGAGGCCCAATTTTTTTTTTGTTCCATAGGGAAAGTTGATCAGTTTCATGAGTACCTTGACCTCCTTTCGGCTTGTTATACCCTTTCCGTTACTCCCGGTATCTACTCTCTCTCTCTTTCTCTTCTTATGGGAACACCATCCAAGAACCTGATGAACCCTGATGTCGGAGTTCTTAACCCGCCTACTACAAGTATAAGCTATCCTCTGACACGGTTGTGTAACGACCGCTGTCTAAGTAATCATAGACAGTCGGGACCGACGGCGGCTTAGCGTGCCTTCTTATTGCCGTGTGATGCCGGCTTAGAATAGCATCACTCCAATCAACTTGACCTAAACTGCTATGTCGACAGTAAACAAGTAGTTGTTAACAAAAGCAACTAGCTAACCGCATGCCTGACTACTAGAATTCTAGATCGACTATTTCTGCTTAGTGCTAGGAGATATCTGACGGATACACAGAATTCTCAAAGGGGGGGCGCTAAAGATATCTTTTCACCTCAGCAGCTTGAAAAGAACTATTTTACTGCGAAAATTTAGTGGGCACAGGTCGTCTTTATCCATCGTTCGAAATACAAATCACATTTGCTGATCTTTAATCTCAACTTGCTGAGTAAAGTAGTGGAGCACTAAAGTTTTCAAAACTAGTCGTAATAATGGCGGCGATTACAGAACGAAAATAAATTCATAAACGTACTTAAAATTTGTACCAGTTGTTTTTCTTTTTTATCTAGTTAAAACAACATAATTTTCACACTGGTAGAGGTGAAAAGTTGTGTGTACCACACGAAAGCAAACACGTTTACAACTCGTGCTTTTGAATCTGACTGAGCGAAGAAGTTTTATGACAAAGTGTTATCATTCGAGTAACAAAAGCCTATCATCATCTTCCTGCCCTTATCCCAATCAGTTGGGGTCGGCGCAACATATTTTGTTTAAACGCAAAGCCTCTATCAATAGCAAACCAAAAATAATAAATAATGGCACAATATGTCACTTGATATTAAATTTTCAAGCAAAATTGGTCAATAGTTGTGCGTGATTTTATGCAGTTTAAGTAGGTAGATGAATCAATCATATAATATTCGTATGTGAGAATAATCAAAAAGTTTTCTATGTACCAAAGCTTTCATAACACCCACGTAATATAAACCAAGTATGTACTATGCCTATTCACAAGACGACGAAAGGTATATTGTGATATTTGTTTTCGCTCTCACCTTTCAACAAACATACCTTGGGCGCTATAACCACAGGAGAGACTTGAGACACCGCGGTCCGCGACGCTTGTAACAGTTTTCATTTATAATGTATGAAACAGAAGAGATAAAGCTACACACGTGAGACGTGCGTCTTGTCATCTTACGTCTCACGTGTGTAAACGCTTAGGTAATATGTTTGTTGCTATGTTCGTCGTGTAGCCAATGTGGCGCGGTCGTAGTAAGACTTCCGAAAAGTAAAATTCCGAAAACATAAATAAAATTCTTCGGGATCGATTCCCGGTAGATCATGCACAAAAGTTGAAATTTTATCTTTTTGTGAAGATGTTCCCAGTCTGGTTAGGATATTGCAGAACCATCTGATTGTCCGAAAAGTAATGGTGTTCTGTGTTCAGATGGCACGATAAGCCGTCGGTCCCGGTTGCTGTCTATGTATAGTTAGATGGTCAACGTCAGTAACCTTCAAAATCGCAAATACTGAGTGACCCATCTGTAAAAGCGCCCCGGGAGCCGTCTCCCGAATTTGTTGCCCTAGGATGTCAGAAGTGGGATATTTTTAGATGGCTCAGTAGCTGCAACCGGTGGGTTCTTCTTCTTCACCGAATGACTCGCTGAACCCTGGTGTCAGAGTTTAAAAACATTACTGAGTATATTATCACCTTATATTAGTAGTTGGTTTTTGACATGGCTGAATTACATATACCAAGCAAGTATAACGAAAGATACAAAACGTATCATACGCGCATCACATCTCCTTTAATAGAACAATGGCGGGCGATTCGATTATCAATAGCATATCGATTCATCAATGGTACATCGATTCATCGATTATATGAACGATTGTTCGCGAGCGGTGACGCAGGACGGTAGAAGTATTCGCGGTAATGTCAGTGTATTCAATCGTAGGAAAACAATTCCCTAGCAAAGGCATATAAGAAAAATGCAATGCAGTGCAGTTAGTAATCTACAAATAAACTGTATTTTTTTAGGGTTTCGATGTCCACTAGATACCCTTATCATTTGGTCGAGTCTGTCTGTTTGTATGCCGCGCCCTACTATCTTCGTCAGGTTGGAGCTATCGATATGGAATTTCGTAAGAAGATAGGTAGATCGTGTTGAAACAAATATTGAATTCTATCACATCACACTTTTTTAAAACGGTATAAAAATTTTTGCAATAGAAAAAGGCGTGATATATGTATGTATGTATTGTATGATATTAAACCTTAGCCAAGTCTATTCAATATCAAAACTGCCTCTAGCTCTTTACCCAACACAAAAGGCCTGTTTAAACAAAATTCTAAACATAGCTACACTAATTCTTTACACTGTCATTTGACGCATTATGCTAATGTCCTAGATTCACCAACAGAATTGAGGACAAACCTAAGTCTATTGGTTAACTAACATGTTTGTGTTATGTCAATTTCAAACATGCAATGATGTGACAAAATATCCACGAATTAGCGTCTATTTTGTACACGTTGCATTCTGATAAGTCAGTGTAAAATCAAGATTTTATCGAGATTAACCCTTTCTTAAATACATACTTTTACTACTACAGCCACAACAGTTCACTGCTGGATATGGCCTTCCCCCAATTTGGTGGTATTGCCATACTCACCACGCTTGACAGGCGGATTAGCGAGCGCAGTGCAAAGTGTTGTAGATATTCACAGGGAACGCTGCTGTCTATTCCCTGGATACATCCCTGTAGTTAGTTCAACGAACGTAGAACACTTCTTATGAAACCCAAGGGAAAGATATGGGGTGATGCTATTATAAGCCGTCTTCATACAGCAATATCAAATGCCTTGTAATGAACGGGAGTGTATTCAAGACAACGGAAACCTCTGGCACGCTCCATTTGGTAAATACTTGTCAATGCTGATCTGATCCCATTCTGAACAAATCCTACTAATATTATGAAGGCGGATGTTTGTGTGTGTGTTTGTTACGACATCACGCTAAAACGGCTGGCTAGATTGACATGAAATTTTGCACAAATATAAAAGAGTATCTAGAATAACACATAGGCTACTTTTTTAACCGACGAAAAAAAACGGAGGAGGTTCTCAATTCATCGCGAACTTTTATGTTTTTTTTTATTTTTTATGTATATTCACCGATTACTCAGAGACGCCTGGACCGATTTGGAAAATTCTTTTTTTGTTTGAAAGGGTGCACTGTCCAGGTGGTCCCATAGTCATCAGGTCAGGATCTGATAGAAGGATCTTGAGAAATTAACATATTCTTCATATTTTGCGACACGTTTGAAGCAAAACGTACTTATGTTTACATACACGACTGACGTCTGCCCGTTGTTGACTGTCTGCCAAACATCTGCCAAAGATGTCCATCAAAAAAGGAGGTTGCTCTTATATTAGTCACGTACGTTTAAGTATTTCATGAAATTTCTATATGCGCTTGGAACTCCTTAGAAACAGGTCGTGTAGATGGCTATCTTGAATGTAAACGAACTTGAAAAGTAACCACTAAAAATTATAAAATAAAAGCTTTTTAGCAAAAAATATCACCGCCGAAAACTGAAAAGTAAAAAATAATAACTTTTGTTACAATATGTACCTACCTATGTAATATTTTTGGAAATAATTATCATCTACCATATTGGAACTTAATAATTTTGAGTCGGCGTCATGCCAATGAAGCGTGTTAATTTGTAAAAATTTAAGACGCCGACTCAGAATTACTAAGTTCCAATATGGTAGATGATAATTATTTCCAAAAATATTACATAGGTAGGTACATATTGTAACAAAAGTTATTATTTTTTACTTTTCAGTTTTCGGCGGTGATATTTTTTGCTAAAAAGCTTTTATACCACGGGAAAATGTCTTATTCCTACGGGATCACGCATATTCCAATATTTTTGCAAAGGTGGCGTGACTGAGCCGATTCGCGTTTTAAACGTTTTCGCCGATAACTAACAGCGACATCTCTTGGCGAGTAATGCTTTTTTCCCGCGGAATAATAGGTTGCAGCGGGTGAAACCGCTGACGGGCAGCCTAGTTATAGATATTAAGACACTT